CCTAACCGATTTAAGGTCTACTATGTTTTAAATCAGGTATTATTTTTATTCCTTTCCATCTCTTAATTTTGTCTTTTCAATCTCTCTCTCTCTTTTAATTTCTACCCTTTTAAGTTGCATACTTCTTTGATTCCAATTTATTTGTTGAAAAGCTTGCTTTTCTGTTAATCTTCACTGAGTTGAAGAATGAAACTTGTTATCCATACCATGAAAGGAAGATGTATATCTCAAGAAGACTGCTGATAAAACAAAACTAACACTGTAAAGGGAAATTTAGCTTCTATTTTCATTTTATATGGATAGTAAAAAAGGAAATCAGGTTACTAATGCAGTTTTCCAGATGTCCCATAAATGGTTAATGCGTTTGTTTTCAGTGTGAGAGTTCCTTAAATCTCACCAAAAATGCATGATTTGTTGGTTTCATGATCTGCAAATGCTTGTTTATGTTAATTTCAAAATTTTATGTTCAGCCACCAGAAGGATGGGAGGGTGGCATTGGATTCGTATCCAAGGAAATGATTCAGTCACACTGCCCCCCACCAGCTGCAGATGTTCAGGTAAATGTTTGAATGTGCAACCTCCGCCCCTTGCCAACCGCTCCATTGACATTGACAACTAAACTGTCCTTTTGCAGATATTAAGGTGTGGACCTCCACCAATGAACAAGGCCATGGCAGCTAACCTAAATGATCTTGGATATGCTGCCCAAATGCAGTTCCAATTTTGAGCCTATAATGAGGCTTCTTTCACTTTTCCCATTGTCTAAAATGATATCCCCATTCTTATGTAGCCTTGTGATCTTGTCTTTCAACACAAAACACTTCTCTACGAGATGACTGATCAAAAGATGATATTTGCAAAAATTCGGATTTTCCACTTGGTTTGCTTTTTCAGGACATTCTAACTCCTATAGCTCAATGAGATTTGCTTCGAGCAAATGATCTAGCATTCTAAATATATTTGAGTCAGGGAATGAATACTTTTTTTCTTATCGCTTTTTCATGGATGACTTCTTTCATTCATTCTTTTAGAAAGAACTCGATGTTGCATAATCATTCATTTTAATTCTAGTAAATACCTTTACAACAACATAGTTAATTACTAAAGATTGCTTTCCCTTGATCTTTAGAGCATTTTCTGAATTTTTGACTTCAATGCTTATTTTTCATGGACTCTTGCATATGTAATGATAAGTTTTTGACTGTAGCAATGATAAGTTCTATGCCATGTGTTTTAGTAGCCAATTCTTCAAAAGATTTTAGTTTGATACCTTGTAAAATGTAGCGTAGTTCCTAATGCATCTTTAAATACACATGTCTAACTTAGAAGTCTGGGTGAGTCAATCCCTATAGTTGAAGCTAAGGTTTCTCCACCGATAAATGTAGTTGATGACAAGCTTCTCCCTTTATTGACGTGCATTAGTAAATTCAGTCATGTTGACCACACGACAAGTGCTATAGAAGAGTTTAAGAAACTAGTATTCCATTTACTCCCAACTATTAACTGAGCCATACTCCAAGTTAGTATATTAGTCAAAGGCATTACATTTCAATGAACGGACAAACTATTTTACCATAAGGTTACAATCAATTCTGATATTGTTGTAAGTCTTCAGAAAGTGAGTTACATGTTGCTTTGGATTTCCTTTACAATCAAATTGTTGAAACTTCGGTGGTTGATAGCTCAAAAGCATCTTAGCAGGTCAATCTCTTAAGTGTTTGGCTTCACATAAAAATATGAAAGTTGAATTGAACTTTCTACTCGGTCCATAATGGTTTATTTGATAAGTTCATTCAATTGAATTGTGGTGAAAATGCTATTAGTAATACTATGGATATTCCTTGTAGCTTTGATTGTAGAATCTTCGACAACATCCAATTGATTTACTTGCACAACCTTGGTAGCTAAAGTTTGGCCTCTATTATTTATGCTCTCAAGTTTGTTTATCAACTTTACTATCTTGTGTTTTTTTTGTCTTGGGTGAAGTTGAAAGCCCCTCGATTAGTTTTGTTAAGTAAACCAATTGATACTCTAAAGATGTAGTCCTGGTCATCATCACTAACATGATACCAGATTCTGAAGCCTTATTGATTGATGTTAAGAAGTTTCTATGAGTGAATTGTCGAAGTAGTCATCTTGAATGTTAAAAAAAAAATCTATGTGTCTCCACTTGACTTTTGAGGCGGAGTTACCTATAAATTTAGCTTTGGAGCAAGCTTTCTGCTCTTCTTTGCATTTGATGTTGACATCAGCTTGAGAATTGACTTATTTTGCACATATAACTCGATAAAGGATTTTGGGGTTGAAGAAGCTTTAATGGTTTGGTCTAGTAATAAGGCTTAGGATTAAGAGGTTCAAAGAGACTTTTAATGGATTTCTTTAAGATATATGGGCTAAGGTAGATCTCAAAAGGGTAACAAATAATAAAAAGCAAGCTTTAATTAATCTAATTCATGTTCAAGAAGGGTTTATTGGTGAAACCAGGGCTATTAAACAAAGATTAAGATATAAAGACTCAAATTGGGTAGTTTGACCTTTTGCTACTCTATAACTGAATTAGTAGCTTTGTTATTTTTGGAAGCAACAATGATGATCATTTTCTTCCTAGTTGCTATTGAGAGTTAGAATTCTCTTTTGAAGAGAATAGATAAGAGATAGAGATGTTTACAGTCGAGTCATTAGAAATTTGTTAATATAATTTTGAGCATTTGAAATTAAATAAGCACACATGTACAAATATTTGATTTTATTAATATATGATCAATTATAATCTTTATTTAAAATATTTTTACAAGAGAATCAGACAATCATTTTATTTTTTTATAGATTTAATATATGATGACTTAATTTATTCGTGAAATCAAGTCCAGATTTATATTTTACAATAACACAAAAGAATCATAGGATTGTCTTACAAGCACAGATGTATAAATATTTAATTTTATTAAATATATGACCAAGTATAATCTTTATTTAAAATATTTTTACAAAAGAATAAGACAATTCTCTAATTTTTTTTTAGATTTGATATATAATGACTTCATTTATTTGTGAAATCAAGCCAAGATTTGTCCAAGTATAATCTTTATTTAAAATATTTTTACAAAAGAATAAGACAATTCTCTAATTTTTTTTTAGATTTGATATATAATGACTTCATTTATTTGTGAAATCAAGCCAAGATTTGTGCTTTGCAAGAATATAAATTTGAGTGTGTATTGCGAAACGATATTTGATATTTTAAAAATCATTTTTGATTTGTTTTCAAAGTGTTGTAGAAGAATTTTTATGAAATATTTATACTTGATGCAACAAAGCTTTATTTTTTGTAGATTTCAAGCATAGATAAAAGGGGTGTGAAAACTTTTATCTAGGGTGAAACCCGCAATTTATAGAAATTTGTAGAAATTTTTAAAGAGAAAGCTTCATTACTTGAAATGTTTGTCTTTTGTCCTGAAATATTTTTGATATCTCCAAGAATTCTTCTCCTTTTATCTAGGGTGAAACCCGTAATTTATAGAAATTTGTAGAAATTTTTAAATTTTTTTCCAATATCACGTGATATTATTTTATTAATTAATTTTTATTACTGAAATATTGTATATATGACAAATATTTTAAATATCTCATTTCATATATTAATATTTTATTGACCAAGAAATATATTACAGTCCATTTACTTTCTATGTCATTTTTTTTAACTTTATTTTATCATGTAAAAATAAAATAAAAATGACAAATAACAAATTTGAACCGGTAGAAAGCTTGTGTTTCTACAGTTTAATTGATCTCTAAGAAGAGCATATACACTAACTAATTTCAGCTTTATTGGGTTTCATGCGAGACTGGCTAGTTGATATTCATTTTCTGCAAAAATTTCATTTGAAACTCGCATTGATATTTAAACAAACATGCTTTAGCTTTTCTAAAATTCTCTCTATACAAATGAAATGACTCGTTAGAAGTCATGAACTGTTGGATGTGTGAAGCCCAGTAGAAGAGCTGCTGGGGTTCGGCGATATGCCAAGGCCTATTCGACATGCTGTTTAATGGCATCTTAAGTTATGCCATGAAATTCAGGATCTGTAGCATGGTCCTTGGCTTTTTTGACCTAAGCTGTTTTGAAGTGCTGTTGAGAACAAAGGAATGAGAACACAGAAAATAGGCATTTCTTTTGTTCTGGCTGATGGTAGGGCAGGAATTTGATACCTTAAAATCTGGGCATTAAGGTCATGTGGAAACTGGAAAACACCAGGGGATATAAACAAGTTAGAGAGAGAACTTGTGTTAAAATCAAGCTCCATGTGGCTGCCCGACAGTCTTTTTCGAGTTTGATTTTGAGTAAATGTGTGTAATGTTTTGAAAAACAAAAAGGAATAGCATGTGGCTGCCTGACAGTCTTTTTCGAGTTTGATTTTGAGTAATGGAGATAGGGCTTGCTGTTGTGTTTATTTATTAACTCATAAAGAACTGATTAATATTTTGAATTGATTGCACACCTAACAAAAAATAGTGTTTTTTACAACTAAACACATCCTTCACAACTATACGCACAAACTATACATATCTACAGATTTCTTGCACCTCTACGAACGAGGCTAATCTGATACATAGATACATGATCGTTTTATGAGGTTAGATTGAATATTTATCAGTATCTAAACCAACCTCCTCTTGAAGGCTTAATAATCTGGATTTGAGAACTAAATTTTGAACATTGATTTGATGTTTGATTGTTCAATCATGGATTTTTCAGTTGAAAACATGTTTATGAAAGTTGAGTTTCAGATAATTGTTACCAGCTGGTTGTAATTTGCAGGAGCATCAAAGAATGATATAAAAGAAAATTTCCTGTTCATTCCCTGCACCCGCAGCAACAATATCCGCCGGCATCTGTATTCTTTTTTTATATCATACTTTGTTTTTTTTTCTTCATATATATATATATATATATATATATATATATAAAGAATAAAAAATACAAACATTGGTGCTGGTAACATTGTATTGTTCATCAATTGTTATTATCGCAGAGCTAGCCTGCTGTACATGCTTGCCTTTCTGTTAGTTTCTCCTCTATATAAGTCTTTCATAACCAAGCACATCATCACAAATGCCATAATAGACTATATAGTAGCTCTACCTTGATCTTCACATCAAGTTCTTCATCATGGCATCAGTTTCTTCCACCTTCAAATTCTTGTCGCTGCTAATAGCTTTATTTGTCGTCGCCAAAATGGCAATCGCTGGAGACCCGGATATTATTTCTGATTTTATAGTCCCACTAAATGTAACCACGGTTGATGGAGCATTCTTCACTTTCACTGGCATGCGTGCCCTCGTTGGCGCACAACCACCTTCAGCTTTCAAGGTCTCAAAGGTAAGTGCAGCCGAATTTCCAGCTCTTATTGGGCAAAGCGTTTCATATGCGGTGCTTCAATTCCCGGCTGGCACTACTAATCCACCTCACACTCATCCTCGGTCTGCGGAGCTTCTTTTCCTTGTTTATGGTTCTCTTCAAGTAGGATTCGTCGACACAACCAACAAGCTCTTCACCCAGACTCTACAGGCTGGTGATATGTTCATATTCCCCAAGGGGCTCGTCCACTTCCAATACAATGCCGATGCCCAAAATCCAGCTTTGGCAATTTCTGCTTTCGGAAGTGCTAGTGCAGGGACTGTATCACTTCCTACTACCCTTTTCACCACCAGCATTGACGATAACATCTTGGCTAAGGCCTTCAAGACTGATGTTGCCACCATTCAAGCTCTGAAGGCTGGTCTTGCACCAAAGCCTTGAGGATGGGATTCATCACCATTCTTTCCCTGTATTCCTCTTATATTTTTTGGTACTTCTATTTTTTTTCCATTGTTTGATGATTTGTATTGAATAATCGCTCCAACAGTGCTCGAGGCCGGTGCATATTGCTTATTTGTCCACTGCTTAATAACATTGTTGGTCACAAACTCTTGTTTCACAGCAATAAAAATTAATCATGAAAACAAAAAACAACTTGTGTTTTCTTAAATTTTCCGTGCGAGAAGTGAAGGATTAGTGCAAGCTGAGAATTGAGAAGCAGACTGAATTTGCAAAAGTGCAAACTTTCACACATGCTTTGCGAGCAGTATATATATAGCTAAACTAAAGCTGTGATGCTTAGCTCTGAACAATTTTTCCAACTTAATCAACCGATTTTTCTCTCCTCCTCCTCTAGCTTCATTGTTATTCCGAAAGAAAAAGGCCCAAGCCATGAGAACTGGGGTACAAGAAGCCCAGGAAGCACAGGCTCCTGCGTATTGAACCCCTCAAGCTGCACAGGCCTGCTTCTCTATGTTATTAAATCCCTCCCTTCCATATAAAAGGCGCTCATGTACTTCCCATGCCATGCATCTTCTGACTCCTCCATCTCGAAGATAAATCAATGCTCTCCTCCCCTGAGACTTCACAAGAATACCAACTGCAAAACACCTAGTTTCTTTCTTTTTCCAAAACAAATTAACCTTCCTCATTATCAAGAAAAGCTCCTTGTCCAGTTCAAGAAACCAACAAAATCCATCTCATTCAAGATCAAGATCAAAACCATGTCAGCTTCATCTTCATCATCCAGGACTGATAAAATAGTTCAAATTCAATACCCAACGGGCACAGATGCATATAGAATCTTGGAACAGATTGGTGGTGGTGCTCGTGCCACAGTACACAAAGCAACATGTGTCAACAACGACATCCGGTACTCAGGTTTGGTCTCAATCAAGATTATTGATCTTGAACAATATTCTGCAGCCGATCTTGATGGTCTCGGACGTGAAACCAAGGCCATGTCACTTCATTCACACCCTAACTTTCTTGGCTCCCTTTGTTCTTTTACCGTGGATCACCATCTTTGGCTGGTTATGCCTTACATGGCTGCTGGTTCTCTCCAATCCATAGTCTCTTCTTTTTTCCCTGATGGCCTGCTAGAGCCATGCATTGCTATAGTTCTCAAAGAGACCCTAAAGGGGTTGTCTTATCTTCATCGTCTAGGCTATTTGCACACAGATATCAAGGCAGGAAACATTCTTTTAAATCACACAGATAATGGCAGCATAAAACTTGAAGATTCTGGCATGTCGGTCTGGATTTACGAGTCCCGCAGCATTGAGAAATCATCCTCATTGTCTTCCTCATCAAAAATGAGGTTAACTGATGTTGCAGGGACCCCATATTGGATGGCGCCAGAGGTTATACAAGACTCAAACACAGGTTATAGTTTCAAGTCTGATATATGGTCTTTTGGTGTCACTGCGTTGGAATTGGCCCATGGCGGACCTCCTTTCTCCTACCGTCCTCCTTCGAAGTCTTTGATATTGAAGATGAAGAAGAGGTTTGGGTTCTCTGATTATGATTACGATGAGAAGAGCGAGAAAGATTTCAAGAACAACCAGTTTTCTCAAGCTTTCAAAGATATGGTTGCTTCTTGTCTTGATCAAGACCCTTCAAGGAGACCTTCTGCTGATCAGCTGTTGGAGTATTCTTTCTTCAAGAACTGTGAAGGACTGGACCTTTTGTTCAACGAGTTTTTCCGTGGGTTGCCTAACGTTGAAGAAAGATTCCAAGAACCGAACGCTTTAAGTGATGGGACATCAAGCCAGATTACTTCTGGTACTGACATTGACTCAGCGGGTACAAGTGTGAAGACTACAAGGATCAGTGGCTGGAAATTTAATGAGAGCAAATTCGAGCTTGAGCCAGAATTTCACGCTGAGTCTAAAGATGATGTTGTGAAAACAGTTCATTTTGGAGATGAAACCATCATCGATACGGACACCAACATTGGGTTCAGTGAGTCGTCAAGCGGGTTAGGTGCCATGGAGGGTTTAGTGGGAGATCATAGTGGTCTAAACATGAGTGGAATAGAAGAAGCTGTTGAGACCCTTAATCAAGAGACAGTAGCAGAGAAGGCGAGTAGCAGGTATGATTGTTCTGTTACGAAGAGAGTCTGATGGAGAGGCACAGATGGTGCAAAAAAATGAGAATCTGATGGAGGTTTTGATCCATGAGAAGGAACAGAACTTCAAGTTAAAGATGGTGGTGGAGAATATCTACGCTATGTCTTCTGATGCATCTATTGATTCTGCTGCTTAAACTGTTCAAATTCTTTTACATTGTTATTGGGTACTGATTGTGTAGAAGACGGGTATTTGGTATGTCAAGATTCTGATTTCTTGTGCATATAACTGATAGTATCAATGATACTATGATAGGGAGTTTTCGAACATCATTTGCAGTAAGAACTGGCTGTGCTTTTCTTTTCTTTCTTTTTTTTGTTTGTTCTGTTATAGCAGCAGTAAAGTACAAATTGGTCTTGGGACGTTGATCTGCTTTTCAGTTTTTTCTCAGGCACAGCATGATTTTTTTGTCGATTTCTAATAATTGATGAAGAGGTGCAACATGACCCTCTTAAGTCAATATCTTTTTTTTAAAGTTTGATGCGGTGCTTTTATGTGTTGCGTACTTGCATCCTGATGCTATGCTTGATCAAACCAATGTTATCTTGCAAGGATCGAACTCTTTTAACAGTCAAAGCGATGAAGAAATGAAGGTTGTTGAGTTTCAATTAACAATTACTGCCTGACGAAGTAAATTCCTCTGTACAGTGATGTTTTTTTCTTGATATCAACAATCTACCAATATAAAGTTAGTGTGCGTGTACAATGGCGCTCTGGAGTGCCCCATTTCAAATGGAAGATGCTGAAATCTGATAAAAAAATTAATGCAGGAGCTGTTCGATTAGGTACCTTGCAAGATCCAATATCTGTTTCTGACCTGATAAAACAATTTATTCCCAACCATTTTTTTTTTTTTGTTTTTCCCCTTAATCCCAGGAGGTACCTTGCAAGATCCAATATCCGTTTCTGACCTGCTAAAACAATTTATTCCCAACCATTTTTATTTTTTTTTTGTTTTTCCCCTTAATCCCAGCAAGGGGATTAGGTATAGGACTACTAAATTGCTAGAATGAAAGTGTCACATATGCTTTGGTGCTTTTAGGAGACACAGGAAGCAGGTTTCCTACAGGTTGACGTTTTCTTAGCCAATAATAAATCCAAAAAAAAAAAAAAAACCACAACAACAACACAGACACAGAGCACATGCATCCACATGAACGCCAGATTTGACGTGGAAAACCCTACTTCGAGGGAAAAGCCTCGGGACCAACTCCGAGAAAAAATCCACTATAACAAAGGTTTAACAGCATTTGATTCTCACAGGAACAAATTCCTCACCCTCTGCAACAATGGGTTTCAAACAATAAGACAAGAGGAAAAGCTACGCTGTGTACACGTGTGCTGAAAAGACCCAGAGAAGGAGTCCTCTCAACGATGAGAATCGTTCATGCTGTACAGCTCATGGCTGTGAATAACATGATGAAATTTGCCTGCAAATAGAAAACATATAAAAGCCTCTGAAAATCTAACGCTGGAATAAACTAAACCTGGAACAGGATTGTTCTATTTCATTCATTTGTAACAAAAGAAAACCGTTAGTAGAAAAGGCATACCTCCACACATTTTGCATCTGCATTACAAAATTTCTAGTTTAGTTCGCTCTACTTTTTGCCACCTTCATAAATGCATAGCATACAGCAATCCATTAGTGTATAGAAAATAGGATGAAAGTAAATGACAGTGTTCTGCGAGGAAACACACAGCTCACCCCGGATTTGAGATGCAGCCTTTCATTTGGCCTCTCCACAGGCTTGTAAAGTACAGTTTGCCCGCATAAATGAACATCAGACACCGAATTGCATCCAAGAATAATAGAATGCCTATAAGTCTCCTTAACTTGTATGTTAAAGATCATGAAATTGCACTTTGTACATCAAACTGAAATCAGAACTTGAAATTACTTTCTTCTGAAGATAGTAGAATTGAATGACACCTGTGTGATAACCGAAATGCTGGAGAACAGTACCAGGCAAGCCTCCTCGTTTGATTGAAGACTGTCTGTCGGAACCTAAGCCACCTTAAAATCTCGGATCCCTAATATTAAGTGATGGAGACTTGATACTTGCTCATGATCACAAAAAATTATGTTGGAGTTGCAACTTGCAGAGGTTCCAGCCTGGACAACAGACCAGCCAAACTTATTTCCTCAAGTTAATCCATTGCTTGCCTAGCAAAGTAAACAATAATAAATAAATAAATAAAGTTGTTCTCCTTACCGATGCATGAGGTTGCATAGCATTTTAAGAAGAGGGAGAAAATATAAATATGTAGGCATGTCCATGCTGTGCATGACTATGGACTAGTCCAAGCAAGCCTTTTAAACGATCCAATTGTTTATGTAGATTTTTCTTTCTTTTAATTTTCCTTGTCGTTACAGGAGTGTATGGAAGGAAAAAAGGACAAGTAAAAGTCCATTGATGCGTGTAGTATGGTGAGGAAGCAATAAAACTTGGTTGTGATTATGGAGCAGATAAACCAAAAGAATACCTGATTATCTGATTTTTTTCTCTTTCAAATCCTTCTGAACAAAGATATCAGCTTTGGGGATGTGGGCAATGATGGACCAATAATCTCCTTTCTCTTTCAAGCATCGTTCCTCCAGAAGAGGACTGTCACGGATACGTATACATCCAAGAGAGAGAGGGAAGCCCTCCCTGGGGAAGAACTGGAGTATAGGGCACTCAAAAATGTTTAATACTTCAAGGGAGGTGAGGTGTTGGACGCCTCTGGATATCGATTTAAGATTCTCCTGATTAGAGATCACAAGACAAGTTAACGAAGTGGGAAGCAGCAGACCTTCATCATCCGGAAAGCGATCCACATCCATTGTAGATTCGACTGAGAATCGTTTAAGAGAGGTGAGCATGCGGAGTCCCCACTCAGACATTGGCAGTGAAATTTTGCAATTAAGAATTTCAAGTGAAGTCAGGTTAGGTGGCAAACCCCTTTCCGTAAAGGAATCCAGACGGTGACATTTAGATATCCTTAAATCTTGAAGAGACTTGAGGCTATCCATGTGAGTGGGTAGGGACCTCAACTTTTCACAACGGTGTATGACAAGAGAGATGATATTTGGTAGGGGCAAGCCCTCTTTGGGGAACCACTTCAACTCATTGCACCCAATTATCTTCAACTCAGTGAGATGGAAGAGGAAATGCAGGGGTGGTAATGACGGTATTCTGCAATTGACAATAGTAAGTTCCTTCAGAGAAATAGGAAACTCGCCAGTTGGGAAGGATGTGGCAGATAAAATCTGTAGTGTTAAATGCTCAAGATTAGAGCCAGATGTCTCCCTTGCATCACGTTGCAAAATCGCCTCTAGAAGAGACTCTTGGTTATCCCAGGAAATGCTCAAGAACTTGAGTGTTTTTGGCAACTTCCCTGTAGGAAGCGATTTTAGGAATGGACAAGCAGTAACTGACAACGCTTCAAGAAGGCACTGGTTACAATCGCTGTCGTTCACCATTGTCATCATTCCATCGGGCAACGATCTCAGAGAATCACAACCTGAAATCTCAAGACGTTTGAGAGAGAGAGGCAAACCTGCTCCTTCAGAAAAGCACTCTAGCTTTGTGCATGTAAGTATTGTCAAGTCTCTGAGCGATGTGAGGCTGCACAGCCCATTTGCCAGCTTCTCCAAGTTACAACAGTCTTCCACGGTCAAAACCTCAAGATTGCAAGGCAAAATCCCTTCCTCGCTCTCTACCAGCGACACGAGCTGCTCACATTCAACGATCCGTAAACGTTTTAAATTCGAAAGTTTGTCTAAATCAACCCCATCTTGCCACAAGTAAGTCAATTCATTACAACATACAAGATCAAGATCTTCAAGCGCCACCAAGGCCTGCACGAGCTCTTCATGTAAACTTGAAAGGCCGGATATTTGAATTAATTGTAAGCTTGAGAGGGATGTTAGATCAGGCGCAGCTCTGAGATCGAGAACCACCCCTTGACATTTTTCAATGTGAAGCTTTTTGAGGGAAGGAAGGCAACTTGGCAAATCTCCAATCAACCTCGGACAATTCATCAAGGTAAGCTCACTGAGTTTAGGAAATTTTCCCACGGTACTTTCAGTGACACCGTCAGAACACAACCATTGCTCCCACCCCAACATATTTCTGATGTATAAAGTCTCAAGAGATTGGAAATCCTCAGCATACACTTCTTTCACCCCATCCATTCCTTCTATGCTCAAATGCCTTAGAGCAGGGAGTTTTCCAACCGATGAAAGTGATGTGATCTTCTGACATGTAGAAAGCTTTAGGTGCACTAATTTAGAGAAACAGCTATCCCCTATCCATGATGGAAACTCGGTACCGCCATATGATGTAACTGAAAGCTTTTCTAGACTTCGGTGGGGCTTTAATGAGTCGAGGACATGCAGTTCATTCCTTTCATTTCGTAGTGAATCATCAAAATTACTAATCCAATGCAAGGCTAACTCACATAGACCTGTCTTCTCTTTCAGATTTGCAAGTTCTGCATCTCGAATATTCACCTTATGCAACCCCTCTATTTTAAGCTGCCCTTGTAAATGCGAAAGCTTCATCAACTCCGTTATCCCAAGCCCTTTTCCTTCTCCCACGATAAACTTAGGCAACATGCGAAGATTTATCAATTTGCTTATCTGCGGAGGCATCTCCTGCAACCCATCTGTATCTCTAATATCAAGGCACTGCAAATTAATTAAATTGATAACACATGTGGGCAACTCAACAAGCTTCGGGCACCCACGTAACCTCAAAGTCTGCAAGTTGAAGAGTACACCCAACGATTCAGGTAATCTTTTAATCCAAGTATAGGACAAGTTAAGGTAACGTAAACGCTTTAAGGTACCAGTAGAATTTGGCAATTCCTCTACAGAATAACCAGCCAGTGACAATGCCCTTAAACATTTTAATTTTGGCACTAAATCATCTAACACCTTGCTAGATAAGTGATAAGGCCTTGACTGTGATAAATAAGTTGGCAGTGCTAAGAATGTTCGCAAGTTTTTCATTTCATAGAAGACATCAAATCTTTGAGAAATGTCATATCTATGAGAAGTGAATGAAGAGTGGCGAACTGCAGCATATGATTCTACTGAGCATGGTTCCTTCTTCGTGTCATCCAAGTAAAAGCATATTTCTCCACTAGCAAACCAAGCAAGATCACTTTTAAGATCATGCATTATAAATCGTGATATGTTGCTACTAGATCGTTGAAAGAACGACCTTGATGATAAATCACGAAAATATTCATGGCCTAAGTCTTCCATGTGCTTCTTTTTCGTTGTTTGCTTCAGAAAACCCTCTGCCATCCACAGGGAAACTAGCTCGTCCTCGTCGAACTCATAATCTTTAGGAAAGATTGCGCAGTAAGCAAAACACTGCTTCAAATGGGAAGGAAGATGATTATAGCTTAATCTCAAAGCTGAAAGAATGCCACTTTCAGTTTCTGGCAAATTCCACATCTCACTGCTCAAAATATCTTCCCACTCTTCAAGGTTCTGCTTGTGGCGTAAGAGTCCTCCAAGTGTCTTTGCAACCAAAGGCAATCCTTTACATTTTTCCACTATCTCTCCTCCTATTTCTTTCAATTCCAAATGAGCATCAAAATTTCTGGAATCCAAAGCATGTTGGGTAAATATGCGTAGACATTCATCAAATGATAGCCTCTCCAAAGTCAAAGCACGAACAGAGCCCATTTTTGAAGCAATGTCTTCACTACGAGTTGTGATGATGACTTTGCTCCCTCTTGCTCCTGCACTGAAGGGAAGAGAAAGGGCTGTCCAGTCATCATAGTTGTTACTCCAAACATCATCCAACACTATCAAAAACTTCTTTCCAGACAATTTTTCCTTCAATCTTTCTTGAAGAACATTTAAATCATTATCTTCACAACTTTCCAAGTGCTGGAGAATTGTTTTTGTTATCCTCGGAATGTCAAAATCATCAGAAACACAGACCCATGCTTTGCAATCAAACTTCACTCTCTCATCATTGTAGACAAGTTGAGTAAGAGTTGTCTTCCCGATACCACCCATTCCAATTATTGGAATGACGGAGTACTCAACGTTGCTAGCATCATCGTTCATCAACAATTCCAGTATGGCCTTCTTGTCATTGTCCCTCCCACAAACATCGGATTCTTTGACCAGTGATGTAGTCGCCCTTTTTTTCACTCCTTTTGACCTCTGTTCAGCCATGATTCCCACGTCGAACTCATTTTTCTCTTTAGCAATTGCTTCTAGTCGTGTAGTTATGCCCCGCAGCCTGGACCCCGTCCTCATATTAAGCTCAATAGCACTTGGATTCAGACCAGCACAACAAGTTGGGAGGAGCTTCCGGACAGTACTGCTGCTGGCTTGAGATTCTGCCCTCATCTTGCTTGCCAAAGCTTCTGTTTGAAACTCGTCCAGTACGTCCTCCACATCTTAAGCCAAATCTCGGAGCTTGGTAAGCCAGATTTTCACAGTCGAATTTATGATTTGCTTCTCTTCTGCATCCTTAAGAACTGCATCAATTTCTGACAGTCTTAGCTTCCACTTGTTAAGTTCTTTCTCCACTTGCGTTTTGCGTACGAAGTTCAGAAGTTCTCCAGAGGTCAGCTTTCCAAGCAAAGGCTCAAGAAGAGCCGAGAAAAAGACTTCTCCAACAACTTCCATCCTTCTGAATGGCGTCACTGATAAGATCAATGTTTTTGCCTAAACAATGAGGGTACTCTAACTCAATTTCACCTACAAGACAAAGAATTGTCAAAAACGTAAAAAAAATAAAATAAGAAAAAGCTAAGAATCCATTGCATCTGTTGTGTTGGGTGGATGTTTACGTCATTAAAAAGTTACCAAATATACGAAAAAAATCACTTAAATTAGCAAAACACATGTCTGCAATTTTCTGCAGAATCAGCTATGAACAAGGGAGAGTTTTCCTGACACTGCAGATTTTTCGTTCCCTGTCCTCTCTTTAACAATTCCAGAATATTACAGCACTTTTATACTTCCAAAATCATCACATCTTATCCTTACACTTGCTCATTTCAATCACCACGTAAACTAACTCAAATTACATTGACTAAACATACGTTACACTAATTAAAGTTAAGGTTAAAGTTCTGTAACATTCACAGCATATTAACCCATACAGTATCAAAAGCAACCTGGCAAAAGCCAATGAACCGCAAACAAAAAACACTGAACCCGGTTTATGAAACTAAATATAGTAGGTTATCATCGAGAGGATATTGGCATCACGAAGAATATGTCATCAGCTTTTCAAACTTGAAAACTACCCAGTAATGATATAATTTAGCAGAGTTTAAAAGATGAAAAAGAAACTAGTGGCCAAATTGTGGCTAGGGAGACCAAACGATAGATATAGCATTCTTCTGTGCATTACCTGTAAGTCCCTTGAAAACGGGAGATCACTACTCTTTAGAAACTAATCTTAGGTACTGTGGCAAAAGAAGAAGGCAAAGAGGAGAGACAGAGAGCACTGATTGAGGAGTAACTAGTAAAGACAGAGAAGACACAAAAATAAAAGAAAGGAGCATACGCATGGTCTTGCCTTCTTTCCGGCACAAAAGCAGAGAGATACCGTCGTTCCTAAAAAATTGAACATAGGCATTCTTGCTGGCGTCAGAAGCTTTTCAAGTTCAAAAGCAGAGAGATACTGTCTTTCTTAAGAAATTGAACAGCCATTCTTGCTGGCGTCAGAAGCTTTTCAAGTTCAACAATTATATTATGAAACTAAAATATGGACCAGCCCTTATGAAATTCACTTGTCTCTCACTTTAGAATTTTAGGCTGGCAATACGCCCAAGATGTCAAAAAAAAAAAAAAAACCATTGACAGGATTCCAATTCTTGTAATTGCCAAACATCCGGCCGCCCATAGTTTGAAGGGAAGCTCCCTGACAAACTTCAGAAATTGTTAGTGATTTCTATATATAATCTTCTTCGATTTTCGAAGAAGGGGAAAATGATAGACTCTCATGAATGGACATATTAAAATTTTTCCATGACCCTAACACCATCGACGTCTTTGAAGTTTAAAGTACCAGAAAAGTATCAAATGGTCAAATGGAAGGACCTGTGACGCAGCTTATAGCGTTTAGAAAAAAAAATTAGGATTTCCTAAGCCCTCATATTATAGCTATATTAATCATTATGAATGTCAAAATTTTCTTAATTATTTTAAAAAATAACATACAAAACTATCTAAATAGTAAATTTAACCGATTTAATTAATAAAATCCAAATCAAATAAAAATCTAAATTCTAATTATAAAAGAAATTTGAAAATAACAAGGAAAATAAACAAAATTTAGAATCAACAACTTCCAATCCTAATTTAGGCATGTTCTTGACTGCTAGCAATGTTTCAACCCAATTCAAATATCATTCCAAAAGTTATGTTTGATGTAGACAAAAGCTAGAAAGATGGGAAATTAATCACAAAAAAAGATGGGTTTGATGAGTGAAAAAGATTGCAAGCTTGAACTTTAAAATACAGTTTATCTCTCTAAATTAAAGCAAATAAAGTTTGCCTTTTAAAGAGGTTACAATTTCTTTAAATAGATGAGAAAATCAACCTAGATAACAAATTAAAATCATGAAACATAAAGGAAATATAGCATAAAATCCAAAACTAAACATAAAATTCATGAAAATAAATAATATTGGCACAATAAGATCCTTGTAGCCTAATTTGAGGACTTGTGGTGGTGAGAAAGGCAATAATGTGTATTTTATAAGGAATAGAGTATCTTGAACCTTGTTGAAAAATTCGAGTTATTTAACAATTAAATAAAAAATTATAATTTTTTTTAATCATTATACTAATTTAACACGACCACCAGATCTTTTATTAAGTATGCTATGTCTCACTAATTTATAAAAACAACTGATAAATCATTTATACAATTTAATTGGATTATATTCTTATCTAATTGAGTAAGATATATAAATAAAAGTTTGATTGTGTGTGTATGTATTAGACTGACAGTAAAAATACCAAGTTTATAATAACAAAAATGACATGCTAAATGAAAAATATCTAATAAAAACCTAGAGTTTATACATATTTAAAACTATAAGTATATAAAAATATAACTAAAAACAAACATGTTTTCAATACAAAAATAATAATAAAATATTAGCATGCATGCTAAGCATATATTCAAACTTAATATAAAATAAAAAATCTTAACATGTATACCAATAATAAAATTAATTATACTAAATTAAAATAAAAATAGTTCTTACATATTAAGCACTCTAAGATAATAATTTTTTTATTATTATCAAAATAAATTATTTATTATAAAATATTATTACTTTTTTACTTATACAACTAGAATGTTTTAAATATGACTTGGTATAAAATAAAATCTTAGCACGCTTAAATTTTGTTTTCAAAAGTTTACAAGGGAAACGCCATTTCCTCGCACACAGGATGTGACTAAAGAGAAACCATTTGGAAATGTCGAGCTGGGAAAAGAAGGGAAGGAAGCAGGTTCTTGCCTCTGATAATTATACAATTTTGAAAAAAGAAATTGAAAGAGAAAGATCAAAGATGAAGACTCACTGTCAAACTATAATGATTACGCATGGATAATTCATGACTTATTTATCTGACATGAATTCAACCCAAACTCAATGGATTTGACATTAAATTACATGATTTAATGAGTTTTTTTAGACCGTATCAATCTATGGATAATAAATAAAAAATATAAATATATATTGTCAAAACTAAGTCGAAACGATACACATTCACATCCCTGCTTACAGTTATTCTCATGGTGCAGAAGCATCGACGACTTTGCTCATGGTGGGGCTTGCATCTGTGTCTTTCTCCACGCATTTCAACGCCAACGAAGAACCCATCTCGGCTCTGTCATATTCTCCGTCCAATGCCATTCCATTGGCTCCATCTTTCTTTTCCCTCGCCTATGTCACCAACCTTCTGTGCCCTATCTCCCCACTATTTGGTACAGCTTGGACCAGGTGAATTGCCCGCCCGATGCCGCGGGTTGTTATGTGAACATTTCGAGAGGCTAATTAAAGATTTTTAAGAGCATGAGAGCCCCCTCATGCAATTGGGTATTTATTGAGACACTTGGATGCTGACCTATCTTGAGTTTTATGGCCTGCTTTGATGTTGATACAACAAGGATGTTGAATTATACACACACATCATTTTTCGAAGCTGCTCGAAGTCTTTGTAACCAAGAGTTTGCTATCTTCTTCTTTCTTTTTTTACATGACCAACCCAAGCCACTCATTGGAAACCGTAAAAATACTTTTGAAAAAATTTTAATTTTTTTATTTTAAATTAATATATTAATACTTTTCAAAAATATTTTAAAAAAATTTGAATTTTTTATTTTAAATTGATATATTTTTAATATTTTCAAATTATTTAAATATATTAATCTTAAAAATAATTTATAAAAAATAAAAAAATATTATTAACATACTTTTTTTAAATAAAAAATACTTTAAAAAATAATTATAATTCCTAAACATACTCTACATCCTCATGACTACAAAATCCACCACATGTTTTAAAAATATAATTGTTATTGTTTTTTAAAATATTTTTAATTTTAAAATATATTAAAATAATATTTTTAATTTTTTTAAAATTATTTTTAATATTAATACATAAAAAAATCTAAACATACCTAAAAATATTAATTTAAAACAAAAAATAAAATAATTTCAATTTTAATTTTTTAAAAAAATATTTTTCAACCACAAACAAGTGAAACCCGTCCTCAAACTCAACTATAAACCATAGTTATTAAACCTACTGTAGAGCAGCCAAATCCCGGATCACAAAGGCTGACTCAAGAAGATCAAAGTTTTAATATCTTATATGAAAGAATGCATGCAAATGTATTTTATAAAAAAAATATAGGAGACATTAAGTAGGATGAGGAATCTTCACACAATCTATTAGGTTACAAATGAAATTAACGGAGAGCGCAAGAAATTGCGTTAAATAAAAAAGGGTAAAAAAAGAGCGAGTGATATTGCCTTCTACCATTTCTTCTGAAATAAAGGAAACTAAAATTTCAAAAAAGATCTCCTACAGACAAGGGGGTAGGGCAGGCTGGAAAAATAACCTGCTGCCATAATCCAGAAAGAAGCTAGACAGAAAAGGCCACTCGGGTTCAAAATCCCAGACATCAAGATTGAACATCAACTTGAAACCCATAATAAACTGAAATCAAGTAGACAAAAGTTTGACTAATCCACCTACACTCCCAAGAAAATTGCTATTTGGTGAGCTCAACGTCTTCGCATCCCCCGTCCACGGCCACGGAAACCACCTCCCCCACGTCCACCCATAGCACTTGCAGCAGCTTCTCCCTGGGCGCTTTCAGACTGCAACATCATATATGATGGGAAACAATCAGCTTAAAAACAGCAATGCATGATAGAGAGGTTCATGTTATTTTCAGATCCGATTTAACTTGGCACAAGCTCCACATTATGATCTGATAGGACCATTAATACGAACATTTA